CATATATATATATATATATATATATATATATATATATATCCGTTTTCATTTCAATTAAAACTAATCCAAAATGTTGTAAACATGCTAAAATAACACAGTGGCAGCTGATAAAAATCCTTCATACTTATGATCAATTAATTAAGTGTGATAAACTATCACACAAATAGACTTTTAGGCATTTTAGACACACAAAGCGAGCATTTTGTCTATGCAGGTATGGTAATGATCAGCCTAACCTAGCGCTAGTTATCTCTGCACATTCAAATGAGATAAGAGAAAGTATTTTAACATAACATTTATATTTTAAGTATACCTACAAAAACTGTGCCTATTTGTGTAGCTAAATGAATGATTATTATTATATCAGATTGCTTTAAAGAAGCCACACCAGGCCTGTAAGTGTTTCAATAGATCATTTGTATCTTTTATCCTTGTGTTTACACTCAGAAATGACCTTTTAGAGTGAGGTCTAATTGGATAAAGTACATTTTAGTGCTTAATGTACGAGAAGAGAGAACTGTTTGTAGAATAAGGTTGACACAGGGCAATCCACTTCAGAGGCCCTCAGAGATATTTAACTGCACCATTATCTCATATTGTACCCAGGGTTTAGAAGATGGTAGCATTACCTTTACCAGGGCAAACCACAGTGAATGAAATGAGCTGTATCATTGAAAAATGCGACAACACATTACCCAGCAGCACACATTTGTTTGCATGAAAAAAATCTGCTGAGCCAAGATGGAGAAGGTGGTGTCAAAAACAGATAGACATCAGGCAGTAGGAGAAACTTCAGCTCAAAGGTATACAGTACTTGTGTTAAAGCAATAGTTAATTCAGAAATGAATCATTTGCTCAGCCTAATTTCATTCCAAACCCTTATAAATTTGTTTTGCTGACACAAAAGGAGAAATATTGAATCACTGTTTTACATAAAAATACAGTGAATGGAGGCTGGAGCTTTTAGGCTTCTAAAAAGACTCAAAATTACCATAAATATATCTTAAAAGTAGTTCATATAACTTGTGTGCAATATTCTAAGTCATATGATGGCTTAATAATAGCAAAATCCTCAACTTCATTCATTTGTAATGATTGAAACCGAATCAAATGCATCATTGAGTTAAATTCAAGAACCAGATCAGTCTGATTCTCTTACAAATCATTTTGATTTTAGAAATGGGATCAAATGATTCACTGCAAAAGATTGATTCGTTCTTGAATCAGATGTTTCTACAGCGGTTCTCTCAAGAGAGGTGGATGTCAAGGACTGTTCCTCACACAAAGCTGTCATACAAGTTTAGAAGACTTTTATGATCATTTTATATAACTTTTTTGGAGCTTGATAGTCTCATTCATTGTCATTATTATGGCAATCCATTATCATATCATATTTAAATCATACTGTATATCATAAAGACATAAATCACTTTTGAAATGGACTGTTTCTTGAATTTAATATTTATTAATGTCTTGTGTTAAAATAATGTAATAATAAATTATTTTTAATTGAAAACTAAATAATTAATGTTTTAAAATGAAGATAAGTATAACAATAAAATAAAAATAGGAGGGGGAAAAAACATTTGCCAGTTGCTTTTCATTATCCATTTGTCAATCAAGTTATTAATAAAAAAATAACACTGGACAGTTCACGTGTAGAGACCACCAATCAGCTTTCGGCTCTGTTTGAAGATCCACCCCCTCTCCCATGTGCCAAAGTAGATGTACTGTCATTGGATAGAAAGACATATCATTTCTTCATTAAAATGGGAGCTTTGAGTGTATTTGTAGATGTAGAGTGGTATGACGGTGAGTAAATGATACCAGAATTATAGTTAATGGGAGAATTAGACTTTTAAATACAGATATTTTGTTGCGTTATAACCTTTTCTGGTACAGAACATCCCTCTGGTGACATTTAGTTGCTTATTTATCTTTTTTACCCAGGCTTCCATCAGGGCACGTTTGACTTTAGTACTTGAGGATGAAGACTAAGGCAATTCATTCTGCAGACTAAGCCAATCTTCCTGAAGAGAGCTGGCAGGAAGTGAAGCGCCAGTCAGTTCGGTCTTCCAATCAGCACAAAAGTTGTGGCAGATATTTCTTCACCATAGACCTTAGTCAGGGTAGCACAATATTTAATTTTTGACAGGAATAAAAATGAGGCTGTGAGGGATAGACGTACAGTGTGTTCAATGATGTGTACTGCAGTTTAACAACATGCCAATAGTTCAGCTAACAAAACTTTGTTTTGTTTTTTGAGTTTTGTAATTGATGTGATCTAGTTACTTTATACAGTATGTGCCATTGTAAAGATTATAAGTCTATGTTTTCATTTGCATACAGTTCACTATGGCATCTGGCCTAACTACAGTCTGTTCCAGCTAACAGAGAACATTCTCAGAACTTTGGAAAGAACATTCTGGAAAGGTTCTTTCAAAGATACGAACAAACATCCTTCTAGTTAACTTTAGTAGAATTTTTTGTTCGTTCAAAGTTATATGGTCTTTAATAATGTTCTTAAAACATTAGCACAAAAACATTTTACTTAATTTGTGGAACGTTTTTCTGAAACATTTCAGTTGTTATTTTGGCTTGTCTAATGTTTTTTAAACGTTTCTACTTACTAGTTTCAGACATTAACATAATGTTTGCTAAGTTATACAATGGAATGTTCCCTTAAAGTTTTCTCTAACATTCAAATAACCAAGAAAAAAACATATTTTTTGGTCGACTTATTATTTCAACTTAATGGAAACATTAACAATGTTAGCACATTATTGTAAGCCTGGATTATACATTTGCCTCGCAGATCTGAGTGTTGTAGCACCTACAAGACATTTCGTCATGTTGCATTGGTCAAGTGGTTGCTTTTGCCTGAACTTCTGACTTCCACAAATCCTTTATTCCTGTGCGTGCATTGAAGAGGCTTTGGGGTGAATTATGTGAGCATGTGTGAAGGGAAGAGTGGAGGAAGGTAAACAATGTGGAAATGGTGGTTTAAGGAGGCATAATCTAATTTCCAGAACATCAGGTGGAGGCACGCTGTCATGTCAGATGAGGCTAGTCATCTTTATTAACAAGGGAACAAAGTTGGCAGGCTCGGCCGCAGCCACCACTGAGCGTGACAAAATATCCAGAGATTGTCCTATACAACCATTTATCTTGATCTGAGCCCAGCTAATGCCTAGCTCAGTTATTATTTGGAATCTCTTTCTAATCAATGCAGATTCTTTATAGGTTGTATCAATCATGTGTTTGTACATCCTGACATTTGCTCATTTGCTACTGTAAATAGACCGTGGGGGTTTATGAGATAACTGAGGCATTAGACGTGACTGAAAATGTCTGACTAGCTGCTTTTTTTTTGGAGGATTTCACTGTTATAAATCTAAAATGTGTTGATTGCTTGTTTTATTTAGATCCAAAGAGGTCAGCGAGGTGTAAACTCTCAATGTTCATAAACCCTCAAACCTGGTTGACTCAAAAGAATGTATATTTATAATTTTTAAAGGATAGTTTGTCCAAAAATAAAAATTCTGAAATTGTCATTATTTACTGACCCTCATGACATTCCAATACTGACTTTTATTCTGAGAGACATAAAAGAAGATATTTTTAAGATGACTGCTAACAGTTCTCATTGACTTTCATTGTATGGAGAGAAAAGGAGCAAAAAAAAAGGAACCAAATCTGTTTGGTTACCAACATTCTTCAAAATATCTTCTTTTGCATTATGAATAAAAATAGAAAGTCATACAGGTTTGGAACAACATGAGGATGAGTAAATTGTGACAGAATTTTTCTTTTTTTAATTCAAATAGAAATTTTGCTAAAAATGTACTCACCCTCATGCCACCCAAGATGTATTTGAGTTTGTTTCTTCATCAGAACAGATTAGAAGAAGTTCAGCATCACATCACTTGCTCACCAGTGGATCCTCTGCAGTGAATGGGTGCCGTCAGAATGAGAGTCCAAATAGCTGATAAAAACATCACAATAATCCACAAGTAATCCACACCAAACACCAATCCATCAATTTACTTGTTTTATGAAGTGAAAAGCTACGTGTTTGCAAGAAACAAATCCATCATTAAGGCATTTTATCTTTAAACCATAATTTCTGGCCAAAATGTGAGTCCATAATAACACTTCCTTCAGTGAAAAAGTTCACCCAGCTGTCCTCTCACATCACAATCCACCGACATATTTGTTTAGAACTGTGGACACTTTTCGCTTGTAAAAGGTGCTTGATCTGTACGTATTTCACCTCTGATTCAGACGAAACAAGCAATATTACGGATAGAGGACTTGGAAGTAATGGGTTGAAGTTAAAAACATCTTAATGGTGGATTTGTTTATTACAAAGCAGCTTTTCACTTAACATGACGTTAATTAATATACTTTAGTTGTGTGGATAACTTGTGGATTATTTTGTTGTTTTTATTAGTGGTTTGAACTCTCATTCTGATGGCACCAATTCACTGCAGAGGATCCATTAGTGGGTAGATTATGTAATACTAAATTTATTCAAATCTGTTCAGATGCAGTAACCAATTAATCCACATCTTGGATAGCCTGAATGTAAGTACAATTTCAGCAAATTTTCATGTTTGGGTGAACTATTCCTTTAAGTAATTATCAAGCATGTAATGTGTTAAAAGAGTAACACATAATAAAACATTAAATGCAAGGTTTGTACGCCATCGGTTGAGTTCGAGAACCAGATGAATCTTGTTTGTGAATGACTCATTCTGTTTTAGGATCATTACACGTTTTCTTGCATTCTCTCAAATATCATTCAGTGGGCACAGCAAAGTCTTAACCCTGATGATCCTGTGTTGAAGTCTAATGATGAAGAGTTGCTAATAAATGTATTTTGTCCTTTCCAGAAGTCATGCCAGTTCCAGAACAGCCTGCCGAAGCAGAGAACGCCACCATACTCAGCCCAGGACTGAATGCTTCTAATGATGATGGATCTCAGACTGAGACCACCTCTGCCATTCTGGCCTCTGTGAAAGAGCAGGTAGGACTTTTAATGTCCACTGTCCCACTTCATTCATATTTTAGGCACACAGCCAAAACATTTTTTAGTGGAAAGGTTGAATTCTTTGCGGTTCTGTCCATGATTTATCAGGAGACAGCAGTTATCTGTACACATTTGTCAACTCTAGTGCTGGACCTTTTCTGTACACTTTCTGGGAGACAAAGATTAAAAGGGGAATGATACAGTGGGTATAGAAAAGAATCACCCCCCTTTAAAATAATCACATTTTGTTGCTTTGCAGTCTGAAATGAAGACGGACACAGTTTTTGTTTTATCCAGCTGTGATTACTCAGTGCAACTTATAGCATCCAAGTGAAAGATATAACACCAACATGTCAGAAAAAATAAAAAAACAGAATCACTGAGTTGGAAAAAGGATCACCCCCCCTCCTAAAAATGACTTGTAAAATCAGGTATAGCTTATCACCTAATGGCTCACAAAGCCATTTGACTTTCAACTGTGATCAGCTGTGCTCAATTTGATTAGAGAAGTGGAAGGTATTTGGTACAACACACACCCTCCCTGGATCAGGACGTCACTCCAAACTGGATGAAAGAGTCAGGAGGAGGAAACTGAGGCTAACAAGAGGCCTACAGGAACTCTGAAGCAGTTGCAGGAATTTTATGACAAAGAGTGGTCATTGTGTGCATGTGACAACAATATCACAAATTCTGACTAAATGCAGCTGGATAAAACAAAAACTGTGTCCGTCTTCATTTCAGACTGCAAAGCAACAAAATGTGACCATTTTAAAGGGGGTGATTCTTTTCTATTCCCACTGTATGTGAAGTTTAGACATTTTGGACGCACCCCCCTCTGGTGACAAATGTGTGGAACGACAACGAACACGCAGTGACAAAACACTGTAATTAGCTAATGGTGGCTCTGTGGTTTGCAGTGTCACGCTTTCTTGCGGGTAATTTCTAGATCTATGACTCATGCGAGATGAAACTTGGGTTTATGTGAAAACAATTGTTTATGAAGGCCAAAAGTAGTATGAGCACTTCACAATGTTAAAAGGAAAAAGTAATGTAAAGTCAAGGGATAGCTGGGTATGTTTATGCATAAACCCTAGTAATAAAAAAATCTAACAAAATGGACCAAAAATGCAATATCTTTGTTTCTTAGTGAAGAAGAGGAGAGTATCCTTAACTGAACAGAGCTGGTCACACTTGCATGTTCTCTTAAACTAAAAAGAGAAAAGACATAGGAAACCAATTAGCATTTGCAAGTTATAATTTATAGACATCTTAGAGTGTAGCCACGGTTAAGGTTTTACAGTAAAAAGTTGGAAAAAGGATCACCCCCCCTCCTAAAAATGACTTGTAAAATCAGGTATAGCTTATCACCTAATGGCTCACAAAGCCATTTGACTTTCAACTGTGATCAGCTGTGCTCAATTTGATTAGAGAAGTGGAAGGTATTTGGTACAACACACACCCTCCCTGGATCAGGACGTCACTCCAAACTGGATGAAAGAGTCAGGAGGAGGAAACTGAGGCTAACAAGAGGCCTACAGGAACTCTGAAGCAGTTGCAGGAATTTTATGACAAAGAGTGGTCATTGTGTGCATGTGACAACAATATCACACAAGTTATAATTTATAGACATCTTAGAGTGTAGCCACGGTTAAGGTTTTACAGTAAAACAACAACAACCACAACAGCAGCATGTTGTGTGAATTGTTTTTATTGACATGCAAAATTGTCAGTGCTCTTAACAGTTATTAGCTGAATATATTAATGAATGACAATTGACATTGAACATGAATAAATACATAAAGAAGTAAAACACAAAATAAGAACAAAAAATA